TGTCTGTAGTACACTAGTATGTTTGCCTAGAAAACTAATGTAATACCCCAACAATCACTTATTCCAATAGTTGTTGAGCCTTCGTGAAGAACAGTGTTCTAACCCTGGGGAAGTAGCACTAAACAGAGGTAGGGTAGGCCTGTTACCTTTGGGGCTTACAGTCTGACAGGCACTAGAGCAGATGAGCAGGTAGATAATGAAGGAAATAAAAGATATGACATGTTAGAAAGTGGCTAAGTACCAGAAAGAAAAATAGGGTAAAAAAGGGAGATCAGACGGGTTGGGGATAGTAAGGTGGGGAGTGCGCCGCTCGAAGGAGACGACACGAGTGAAGATCTGATGGAAAGGAGGGAGTTGACCTATGTGGTAACAGAACATTCTAGACAGGGAAAGCAGAGCATTCATGTCATGTTCAAAGAACAGGGAAGAATCTAGTACAGCTAAGACAGTGAATACGGGGAGAATGTAAGAAATCAGGTTAGAGAAGTGAGACGAGACAATGCAGGCTATCGTATTAAGAAGACTGGCTTTTATGGCAAGTGAAATGACTGTAGAGTGGAGAAGTAACTAAGAGAAGGAAAGAATGGAAGTAGGAAGTCCAGTGAGGGGTGGAGGCTCAGACTAGGATGGCAACAGTGAAGGTGTGAGACTTGGTCAGACTGGGTGTGGCTGGAAGGTGGACCCGATTTGCTTGAGAACTACAAAGTGAAGCAAGTGTAACCAAGTTTGTGGAGTATGAGAAGAGTGGGAGTACAAGGCCAACAACTGGAAGAGTAAATATCCCACGCACTAAGGGAGAAAGATAAGGAAAAAGGTAGAAACAGTGACGATGGAGGTTTCGATGAGTGGAAGGAGAATGAATATTAAAGATTCGGCTTTAATCATAAGTGTGAGCTGTAAGTAGGCAGCAAGTGGGCCTATCCAGCAGCCAGCTGAAATTCTGGGTCTGGAGACAGAAGTCTGGGAGGCACCAACACATGGATAGGATTTGATGCCTTGGGTTGAATGAGATCAAAGAGCAGGTATGCATAAAAACGTGATGATGTAGGAGGACTGTGATCTGGAGTGCTCTAGAGTTAAGATGAGACACCAACACAGAGCCTGGTAAGCAGTGGCCAACAGGATAGGCGAAGTTGCCCACAGTACCCACAAAGCCCAGTGAAAAAAAAGTTGGTAAAAGTTAACTGTTAAACGTTATCAAATTAGCCAATAAACTTGGGAGTTGCCTATTAGCTTTAGGAATAGGAGCATCAATCATAAATAGGTTGAAAATCATTTCTATAGGCAGGTGGGAATTAAGCTGTAGCTATCAGGACAGGTGGAGTCTTGGTCAGAGTTCATCTCCTACTAGTTAAAATAGTGAAACCTATGTGTAGCAGCTGTTACTCTAACCCACTTAACAGGTTAACTCCTAAAGCTACTTTTGGAGGAGAGCTATCTATATAAATGCATTTTCAGATAAATGGAACCACTACAGAGGAAGTTTAATACAATGATGTCTCAGTTAATGAACTTAATTCTTTCTACGATTTTGGTTATAGAATTTTGGTTGCAACTGGATTGCAAGCAACAAGAATTGTGGCATTAACTTCATGAACTGAGCTACCACTACATGGGGAATACAGCTTACATGAATGTGAGACTTTATAGTTCACTGAGCAATAGCAGTAATCTAATCTCAATTATCCACCCTTGCAGTGATTTCATTAATTCCCAATTACCTGTGTTAAATTCCTTTCTGTAAACTGCCATTTCTAGAAAGACGGGAATAATAGATACACACTATTCTTCCATTTTAAAAGTCCCTGAAAATGTGTATCATTTTTGTGATGGTAGTTGTTTTAACAAATGACTACAATCTTTGTGGCATAAAAGAATGGATATTGAAGCCAGACATGGTGTACATGCCCATAACCCCAGCACTATGGCAGGCTGAAGCAGGAAGATCCCAAATGTGAGCCTAGCCTGGGCAATTTAGCAACTTTGCACAAAATTTTTAAAAGGCTGGTAATGTAGCTTAAGGTCCTAGGTTTAAAAGCTATCATACACCCTTTCCATTTCTTACCAAGGGAAAGATAGCCTAGTTAGTATGCCTAAGGTATGAAAAAGCAAGGTGAAATTCTATAGATTTAAGAGAAAAGAGTAATTCAGCAGACTTCTTGCTCATGTAGTACTAGAAAAATGCACAGAAAAGACATTTAAAACATATAACGTATCAACAGAAGGCACAGTCAAGCTGTAGACAGGATCACCAAAACTATGGAGTCTTGCTTGGCTACTGATGAAGGCTTCCCAGCCAGGAAGAATGGCCTTATATCAAGGATATGGCCATTCTCTGGAAGGAAAAAGGGTATACAAGGTATCTGTTGAAATACTCAGTAAATACCACTTCTATTCTTTCACAGGTTGGTTCTCTTCCATTTTTTTCCACTGAGCAAATGACCTTAAAAACAAGATTGTGGACTCATGGGCCAAATAAATAAATAAAATCTTCTGAAGCCCTTATTTTTATGTAAAATATGGGCTAATTTGCATTTTTGCATTCTGCTTATCTGTACTGCTTTTATAATGAAGTTTCTTTCCAAACCTTTAGGTAAATAAATGCCTTTAGATATCCAACTATTATCCTGTGATGAGTAACTTACTATAAACCTCCTAAGCTGCACACACTCCACTGAAAAGCTTGGGCTCAATCATAAGCTCAGTTCTGACACTTGTCTCAAAAGTAACTTTTCCATTATAATGTTCCAATTGTAATAGAAAAATATGGAGCACAAAACACTATGCATTAATTTTGGACGTATACTCAAGTAGTAAGAGAATAAAACTATCGACATGGTAGGTTATTCCTGGAGAGAGAAGGGCAAAGGCAGGGAGTCTTTAGTTGTATCTGCTTTATTCCTGAAATAAGGTAAAAAAATAATCTGAAGCAAATATGGCATAATGGCAACGCATGCTGATAACACATACAGCATTATCTAATGGAAATAGCAAAGCTACAAATAAAGCCTCCCGATCCCACCAAGCCAGACCTCTTATTGCCAGTTGTTAAATATTTACAAGCACCTTTTCCCTAAACTTAATACAGTAGTTAAATTCAGGCTCCGGACCTTGCTTATTTTAAGTTCAGACAAGATCCATTAGTCCACAGATATCTGATCTTCAATAAGCGCAAAGAAAAAAAAAAGCTGCAAAGCACCGTATCAGTACCAATCAGTATAATTGGATAACAGAACCTACCCATGAATTTATGAGGACTAAATGACCTGAAAAATGTGAAGCACTTAGGACGGAAGACAACTATTCTAATATAAACACAATGGACAAGACATGCATGCATTTTGATGTTAACCAATAATGCAAAGACCTTTGCCAATCCCCAATTCACCAATAGTATGATGTTATATTCATTTTCCCCATAAAAATGGGGAATACCTCTTTCTGTGTCATGTTTTCAGTTTTTTTTACTCAAATATATGTGCACAGGTATATGTATAAATCTATTTGGTTCTCCAAAATTTAGATGGCAGCAGGTCAACTAGTGAGGGGCTGAATTACTCAAATCTAATTGAACCATAGGCATAAGATACTGATAAGAATTCTGATAGTGAAAATTCTAACTGAAATTATTTAAATATATTAATTTTCTGAATCAGTAAGAGAATATATGTAAACCAGTTTTTTTAAAAAAAGCAATCCATTAAAGTTCTTATGTAGAAACTCATTAATAAGAGACCAATAAAGCCATAGACTGGGTGGTATGGTAGAATGCAAAGAATAGTTTGGAATACAGTAGACACAGATATGAAGTAGCACTGGTCAAATCCAGAACAAAACTTAGCATGTGGCAACACCAAATATTTGGACAAAGGAGAAATTAATAGGTAACAAACAGCAGAGGAGAATAGACCACTGATTTAAGAACAAGCTAGATCCCTATACTTCTTTGTAGAGATGAATTTTCCATGTCTCCATTATTTTTAGGAAGCTACTTCAGGATATGCACCACTGAATGAAATATAACTAGGAAAGTCACAAGATACAGGAAATGGAGAAATAGGGAAACCAACACAGGGGAGAGGCACACTATCCCTAGGGTGATGGTGAAGGAGATTTCAGGATGACAGCTTTACTCCAGCCACAGCAGTCCATAATGGACAAAGCAGACTGCTCCAGAGTGATTCTCCAAGATGAATGGAACTGCTAGAATAACTGACAGCTTTGAACATAAGCACAAGGTGTTCATACATTTGGTGGAGATCTACGCCAAGTCAACTAACTCAAGGAAATAAAAAATGTAAGATAAGGTAAAAATAACATCACTCAGTGATAATCAGTGTTCACATAACCTTAATAGTTCAACATACTCTTAATGTAACCATAATAAAAATGTAAAAACTGAATTACAATGTAATTATATTGAGAAGAAAAAGATAAGAGGAGAATGTATAAAGCTGAGAAAAGAAAAACTATACTAGGAACCAAGGAATTCCTAAAAGTCAACTAAAAGCAATATAAGCACGTTATCTGGAGACATAGTAATAAGTAAAAATTTTACCTAAGAGTTGAAAGTGCTTGTTCTGGAGATAGGAAAAGAGGATAACAAAGTCAATGTAACAGTATCCTTCTTTAGAAAAAAAAAAACCCACTGATTTGACTTTTTAAACAATATGCATGTATAAATCTAAAAATAGACAAAAAAATCTAAACACAAAATCTAGCAGTGTCAGGCTCATAAAAATCACGTAATTGTTAATCTTTTATTATTATAATGACAAGACAAATGACTCTTCATATCACCATTACATTCATGCTAGCGATAACAATACTTCCTCTATTATAAATGCTATTTAATCTTTTTAAGACACATTATTTACTATGCTTGGAATAACAGCATGCTTAATAAAAGAAATATAAAACATTCCATTTTTTTTTTTTACTGAGCAAAGTACCTACTTTTATATAATTTACACCCAATTTTTAGTGTTAGTAATAGAAACAATGAAATGTTTTACTTCTTGATATTGAACAGGAACAGGACTAACCCTGAAGACATGCACTACAACCATGTAATAGATTCTGTCATCAATATGATGGTCTTGGCATCTTAATATACTATGTTCACACTTTACGTGCTATTTTTAACAAAAACAGATGAAGATGAGCAAAAGTTTCATAAAAAAGAAATACAAATAGCTAATGACTATCTCACTTGTGATGAAATACAGATTTTAAAATGCCACATTTTTCAGTTATACTAGCAAAGATTAAATACACAGGAAAAAACATAATATTGACCAGGGACCGTACAGGTGGAAGTGGTCAAATATATATTACTAAATGAAAGTGTAAGATTTATTGTACAGCCTTTTGAAGAGCAATATGGTAATACTCACCAAAGCTTTAAAAATGAATGCTTAAGCCCTTTGAATCAGTTACTCTACTTCTAAAACTTTAAGAACATAATTATGTACCTTAAAAGGTACAAGGACATTCACTGTACTACCACTTAAGTAATAAAATGCAGACAACTAAAATGTCTACTACAGAGGAAAATAAGCATAATTACGACACACATTTCGTATGCCAGGAAGTGGGCTGCAGATTAATGCCATCCTCTCCTTAGCCTTTTCTTTTCCAAGACAATCTACTAACAGAGGCAAAAAATGCCAGACACTGGTTTTCTCTGTGACCATATGTGAGAAGGCAGAAACTGAGGCGACTGTTTAAGGGACAACTGGGAGAGGGCCTCCTTCTCAATAAAACAATTACAATAGGAAAAAGAGCCTTTCTCCTGTCCTGCCTTATGGATGCAATTTTATTAAGATGTAAAACTGGAAGTTACAGCAGTTGTTCTTGTAACTGGGAAGAGGAATGAACCTAAGGCAGAATAAATAAACTGAGGCTAACGCCAAACAAACAAAACCCCAAAAATAACCACCATGAATTATAAATGTTCACAGTTACTTAAGCCAAGGGTAATTGAACATTGTTACCTTGGATCAAATTGGTTATTAGTTATACAAGGAAGTACTCTAGAACCACTACAAGTTCATGTAATGGCGTTAAAGTTATCAACAGCAGATGCAGAATTTAAAAAATTACAAAATAGCATGTTCCCACTTTAAAAAAACAAGTTAATAGGGTTTCATCTGCCAAGACAAAGGTCTGGAAAGATACTCAAGGTTTTAAGAGCAGTGATTTCTGAGAGATAGGATTTAAACCTTTCCTTTCTACATTATTTGCCTCTTCTACTTTATCAGCTGAAGATTCTGCCACCCTTTCGATTTCTATTAATTAAACCTAAGTTTGGACAGAAAGAGGGAAACATATACTCTCATGGCCTATTTTGAAAGAGACGTCTGCTTTTTTAATAGTGAAAGTTTTTGGCTTCTTATAAAACTGCTTTTTAAAATAAAAATTGATACTATCAGGGATTTACTTTTTTTCAGTGAATATGGAAGATGACAAAGCTTTCACTTTCTTTTGTTACTCAGTGTATCATATCATGACTTTGTACCATTCCGTATTAGAATTTCTTCTGTAAAGTAAAAACAGTCCCAGAATGAAGGATCTTCAGGTGTCATTGGAACAGCAGATGATATTAAATCATTAAAGGTGAGAATAGTAAACTGCCTCTGGGATGGCTTAGATTCATCTTGAGAAGGAACCTAAAAGGGTTAAAAAATAAATTACATTATACAGCATAATCTTATAGTCAATTTTATGATCATGAAAACAATAAGACAAAACTACATTTCAGTAGTACTAAATAACAACACAGTAAAATTTCTAGAATATTTTTACTCTTTACATTGTATTACTAATACAAATGAAATAGTAGACATGGTTCTTGAACCTTTTATATTTGACAATAACCTCTGGTATATACTTAAAACTGCACAAACTGCAAAAGAGATATAACAATTTTTTTTAGTACGGTTGCAACACGTTTGCACTCATTGTTTGGTGTTGGTACAAGTGCACAACACTCTTTGTTCCTTTTTTCATCCCTCCCTTTCTTCCCCTCTCTTTTCATCTCTTGATCCCTCTCCCATTTGAGAAAGTATCTATCTCCCTACTTCCTATTATCTACCTTTTATTTTACTCTTTAGTCACAACTCAGAAATCTCATGTAAAAAAAAGATATTTAACTTTGTGTTTGATTTAACTTTAATCAGTATCCTGGTGCATCCATTTACCTACAAATGACAGTTTTAGCAGCAGAGTAATCCACTGTGTGTCAGTACCCCATTTTCTTTATCCATTCATCTGTTGCATGCATAAGCTGCTTCCAAGATTTAGTTAGTATGAAATGTGCTGCTATAGATATGGGTATGCATGTTTCACTGTAATATGATGTTTTTACTTCTTTCAGGAAGATACCTAAAAAGGGAATAATTAGGTCGAATGGAATTTTTGGTTTAAGTTCTTGAGGAGCCTCCACACTGATTTTCATAGTGACTGTACTATACTACATTCCTACCAACAATGTAGAAGAGTTGTTTTCCCCAAAAAACCTATGGAGCATTTGTTATTATTTGATTTCTTGATGATAGCCATTCTTTCTGGGGTAAGATGGAATCTCATGTGTTGTTTTAATTTGAATTTCTCTAATGGCCAGTGACATTAAACCTCTCTTCATGTATTTGTCATTTATGCATTGTCTGTGAAGTGTCTATTCATTTTACTGACCCAATTTTTGCTGTATCTTTTATTTTGGAGGGGTCCAATTTTTTAGTTCTTTATATATTCTCAGTATTTATATATTTATATATTCTAGGTTCTCCTGCATGAGGAACAGCTGGCAAACTTTTTCTCATTCTGTAGGTTGTATTTTTTCCTGTGCAGAAGCTTTTTAATTTGATACGATCCCATTTGTTGGGGACGACTTCCTGTGCAACCAGGCTTCTGTTCAAAAAGTCCATGCCTATGCCTCTGACTTCAGATTTTACCTATTTTGTCTTCCTACAGCTGTGTTTCTGTTTTAAATTTAGTTCTTTGATCCATTTTGATTTTTATTAGTATATTGATTATATATATTAATATATATTTATAACATATATAATATGTGAGAGATATGGGTCTAGATTGAATCTTCTGTATGTGGATAGCCAGTTTTCCCAGCACCATTTGTTAAATAGGCTATCTTTCCTCCAGGGGAAATAATTCAACATGAAATTAAAACTGTATCTTGATTCTGAAATACAGCTATTGTTCAAGAACTCAACCCAGTGTAGATCTCCCATAATCTTTACATTCTAGTATAAGTTGAGTATCTTTAACTTGAAAATCTAAAATCTGAAATGCTCCAAAATCTGAAACTTTCTGAACACCAACATGATGCCACAATTGACCTCAAGTGACAAGTCAGTCAAAACATAGTACACTAAAAATATTGTGTAAATTACCTTCTGGGTATATGTGTAAGAATGCTATGTATGTATATACATAGGAAACACTAATTAATTTACTGTTTAGATGGGGGTACTATCTCTAAGATGCTTCATTATGTACAGGTATTATATACAGATAAATACTCCAAAACACACAAAAAAATGCAAAATGCTCTGATCCCAAGCATTTCTGATAAGGACTACTCAATCTGCATAAATAGTACTCAGGTTTTATATAGTGTTCTAACGAAGTCCAACATGTATTTTACATGATGTATGTCTCACAGCTGCACTGTGACATAGCTATTATTTCAATTTTACAAATGGGGAAACTGAGGCTCAAGAAAAATCAAACAATTTGCCAAAGCTTAAACACAGGTTAAATGGATCTGGAACCTAGTATTCTATTCCTACTACACCATTGCTGCTGAAATAGGTTCTATACAGGGAAAGAAAAAGCAAAGGGAGTACTAAATATGCAAATGTCTCAAAAACTACAAAGTTGTAGAAAAGATATTTGCAGAGAGCATAAAGCTGACTTGAGAACATAAGGCCAAGTAATGTGGGTCAGAATGTCTTCCAATAATTGGTATCAATTTTAACACGATATCCCTTTTTAAGTAGATAATTTAAGAAGAATTTTAATTCTTTGATTAATTGATTAAAGGCCTGGTCTGTGGCTTGAGCTATTTTTCTAACATAATGATGTGCATACATTAACTACGCCACATTCCCTCCAAGTGGATTCCCTAAAACTCAAACAGAGTTTTGATTATAACATTACCAGTATTCCTTAAAGAAATTACGTCTGCAAAAACACAATGTGTAGGCTGTGAATCTCTGATCCTAAGTTTTTTCCTCCTTCACTTACTAGATAACAGCGTAAGACATATAAACAGATGTGAAAAAAAAAGTGCAACTGAGACTGGTGTTATGCCACAATGTACAATCTCTCTCATATATTTGATGTTATAATTTGGGGAATAATTTAGGGTATTACTTTTAAAAGGGGAAGAGGTTCAATATGTAATCCTACTCCCTAACATTCAACTTAAGTACCTTTCATATTCAACATAGTCCCAGTTTCCTAGGGAATATATTCCGGTTGAGATGATTAAGATAGCGATCACAGTGTTTTTTGAATTGAACCCGGTGCCTTCTCACTGGACTACATCCCCAGCTTCCTTTTTGAATTTAAATTTTGAGACATGATCTTCTAAGTCACCCAGGCTGTACTCCAACTTGTGACCCTCCTGCCTCAGGCTCCCAGAGTGCTGGGATTAGAGGAATACCTGGAACCACTACAAAGAATAACTAAAGGAAAAAATAATACTACAAGCAATTATAGTGAATTACTATTGGAACTATGAGAACTATGACAGTATTCCAACACTTTTACTTGTAACACTGAAGTGAATTTCAGTATCTACATAACATGTCTGTAAAAGGCTCGGTAAGCCTAGACAGTCTTAAAGATTTGCTAATGCAAAATACTTATAGATCTACAATCTTAAAATAAACACACCTTTAACCTGATATAAGGTGAGTATCTGTTTTTACCAATAAAGGATAAACTTAACACTGATTTATGCTTTTTAAAAAATACACAAATCTTACATCTGTATGTCTAGATCCATCAGGTTTCCTAAGAGCTACTGCAACAAAATGGTGCTCATCTATTTTGCTTTCCTGAAAAATAAAAAGGAAATAAATTAATAAATGCACAATTTTATTTATATTTTAAAATATTACTTTCTTTAGGCACACACAGACACACACATTCTCTTTTTCCTTCAGGCATCACGTAATAGGCAAACAAGATCAAGTACTGACTGCACTCAGCTGTTGTACCTGTCCTAAATTTTAAAATACAAAACCTGTGCATGCTTTTATTAATATAACATTGCTTATTTTCAGTTTGTTTTAATGTTTCTTAAAGAATACATATGGGCCATGCACTCTTAATAAGAATATTATACAGTTACACAGATTGCTATCTGCTCCTCACTGGTGATATTAATTTTTTACGTTAAATGTACATTAAAAAGAAATCGCAATTCTGAAGCCTATAGAAAAGTCATGGCAGAAATTTATAGGTAACACTTAACAAATATGCAGTTTTCTATTTTCCCCTACCATGACACAAAATGAAAAGGGCTGAAAATGTAATAGTGATTGAGGTAGACAACAAAACTATAAACTATTAAAAACTAAACAAAATTCTCACTTAAAAGCCACCTAACCAAGGCATTCTTCCATCAACCCATCAGTTGAATATAAAACTATACTCAGAAATAGTCATTAAGGGGCCGGGCATGGTGGCGCATGCCTATAATCCCAGCACTCGGGAGGCTGAGCCAGGAGGATCGCTGTGAGTTTGAGACCAGCCTGGGCTACATAGTGAGTTCCAGGTCAGTCTTAACTACACAGTGAGATCCTGTCTCAAAAAACAAAACAAAACAAAACAAAACGTCATTAAGGACCTTTTATCCTTCATCCTTCTTTTTATATTTTCAAACCTTAGGGTATCCAAATTACCAAAAAACAACATTCAAGAATAAAATGAGACAAGAATACTCAGCAAAAAAAGTAAGACTAAGAATCAAATTTTTAATAGGTTAAACGTCATCAAAAAATAAACTGGTCACAAAACCATCTTGGTTTTTTCTTAACTGGATAAACCACAAAGATCTAAAAATATCTAAAATAGTTTTTTTATAAATTTAGTATGTGACATGGTTTTTCTATGTATAGAATATCTTAATAAATAAAAATCATCCCTAACATGATATTGTACAATATATATAACCGTACACTAAGAATGTTGCTAATCAATGCACTGTTGAGTATTTCTAACAATATGAGAATGGAGACTGCCACTTCCCACCATGCCCCAAAGCAAGACAGTTATCTTCCCTTATAGTTAGGAAAAAAAAAAATCACAATAATTTATTACAATGTTATAAATAAAATTATCAGGCCGGGGATTTAGCTCAGTGGTGCTGCCACCTGTGTCGCAAGCACAAGGTCCTGAGTTCTATCCCTGGTACCAATAAATAAATATCTTTTGCTATAGGATCATCCTCACTATTTACACTGAATATACCAGTAAAGGAACATTATACAGAGATTTTTGGCCACAATTAATTTTGGGAAAACACATAGGTTAGCAATTTTGTAGTAGCCTTATGTACAGCAAGGATCAGAGACAACTGAGGGCAATAACCAGTTGTCAGATAACATGCCAAGAATCCCTCCTCAACTTATCTATTTACATTGTTACAAGCCAAGAGTGGGTATTTCAATGGCATCCCAAATTTAACATTCCATTTGTTTTCTAGCACTTTATATCTCAAAAGACAGGAGAATAAGCCAGAGTATTTTTCTTATCTGTGAAATCTAACTGCTTTAACTTCCACATACCATAACAAACAGGACCTGGTCTTCAAAAGACACAAATTTGATTTTATCACTCCCTACTTAATACCTGTTAGGAAAAAACAGGTGAGAAAATAAGTAAACACCTCCTATTTTACCATTCTCTGCTAACTCTGGGGAACTGACCTTCTTTGCACATCAATTCAGGTGTTGTAGGAGGAGCAATCACATCACAATATAGCCCATTACTATCCTGGGCTCTGCACTCTTAACATGAGCAGGAAGAATTACAGTAGACTACTTCCTTGGCTAGCGACCCACGTTAGGACAGGGAGTCCTTCTATAGGGATTTCAGGTTTGTAATGGAGGGTGAGTTCACCAGTCTCTCTTGAGTTTTTAAACTATAAAGTGGTGTAGGCAGCAAATTTCATGCAACACAGACCAGAGAAGCAGTGTAGAATGACAAACACAGATGAGAAAAAGATAAAGGCAAGACATAAAAAAAGACAAAAGATAAAGAGCTCTGAATTATTCATTCCTTAATTCTGAGGTCTAATTACTAAATCATTCTAGTGGCCTGTACCAAAATCTTCTTTGCTTACTGCATCTGTGTTGGGTTTTTTACCTGCAACAAAGAACTGCTAATGATAGAAACCAAATAAACAACAGAGGCCAAAACTCTAACATGAATAATAATGTCTCCTGTGATCTGCTAGCCTAGCTTAAGATCTCTCTCAAATCCCTTTATCGTGATCCACACAAAGTGACTATTGTTTGTGCTCACACACATGAATCTCTTTAAATTTCTGGCCCCGTTCTTGTTCCATTCTGCTTAACTCACAATGTCCCATCTTCCAACTATCAACTTGCATGTTACACACTCTCACAGTATCCCTGACTTCATCCTCAGAGCACAAAAACTGCTCTGACCATTTCTGTCTAATTTCAACAATTAGCCACCATAAATTAACATTAAACATAGGCACAAAATATGGAAATTCTTAATTATGACAGGTTTGATAAATTTCTTACCTCAAATACCCATTCCTTTTCTTCTTCCCCATCCAGGAACAAACGTGTTTCTTTATAAACCTGGCCTATTTCCAAGTTTAATGGAGAGATATCAAATTCAAGCCGTTGCAATTCAAATCCCAGTCCAACACCAATGGCTTTAATGAAGCTTTCTTTCAGTGCCTATGATACAGGTAGATATTTTTCTCTTAGACTGCTTAGCCAATAAAACTTTTCACAAAATCTACAGGACCACTACATCCAGATTTCTAACTTTATACTATGTTATAGCTATAAGCTTTTTTTTTTTTTTTTTAAATCCACCTACTATCACAAAAACAAACCACCCATGTGATCTTAAAGGAAATCATTTAAACTCTCTGTGCCTTCACTCCCTGATACATAAACTAGGCTAACTACATCATCATCCTCACTGGGGTGTTATGAGAATTAAATTAACTGCCTTATGAAAACTTGAAAGTGATATCCTGTGGTATATAGTAAATATTATATAAGGCTGTGTGCATGAACTTATGACAGAAAACATTATTATAACTGGTGATGAGTAAATGCCTTCTTTGTTTTTAATTGAGTTTATTGGTACATTTCAGGGATACTGTAGTTACATTCATTGTTGGGATCTTGTACCTCTACGTGACAGCTCTTGGATCTCATTTTTTCCCCTTGTCCCTGCCCTCCCTTCACCCCACTCCTCCCCTCTCCATTTACAAACACTTTATTTCCATCTTTTCATTATCTCACATTTTTTTCTTTTCCCTTATTACCCTTCCCCTACCCATCCCACCTTCCCTACACCTTTAATTGCCTTCTTTTTAATAGCATTAATTGAGCATTAAATGTAGATTTTCTCAAAATAAATGTAATTATACTATGGTACTACTAAGGAAGTACTTTTTTTAGTGCAAATATTATTTTACTTTTATCATTAGTAAAGATAATGGAATCATTATAGACTTACTTTCAAAATTAGAAATAAATCTTACCCAATTCCTATAAAACGTATCCAATTGAGTCCACTCATCCTTAAAGCTTCTGATTGTTTCCCATTCTTTGTTGGTAAACTTTCTTTTCATAATATGAAAAAATTCTGGAATTGAACCACGACCTGTCAAGTGAAAAAAGTTAAAAATAGCTCTATTAAAAAAAATAGCTGTTCTATTAACTGAAACTGGAAGAGGCAACACAAAGAAGAAATTAGGCCAACTCATATGATGATAATAATCCTAAACAAAATATGACCAAATCAAATGATATGGAAATCAAGAGAACATATCACAAGCATGGATTAGTCTAGAAATATGAGAAGAGTTTAACAGAAATCAGTGAAATGATGATTAAATAATTAAGCAGAAAGTAATATAGTTGTACAGAAAGATATTAAAAAAAATCTGTTAAAATTTTAGCCAAATCTGTTATAAATTCTAAATAACTAAAAAGAAATATCTTTTATAAGAAAAAATATGCCTCAGAAATCAATGACAAATATCCCTGAAATAGAGCTGTGCTATTCTAAGGTTTAATTTTTACTTTGCTATCCTACAGAGAGACTGCAAGTGTGGTAGTTGCTGTGACTATATCAGACTATGTGGGTCAGAAGCCTTAGGAACTGGTATGTGGGCTAAAGAACCTGTAGAATGTTTTAAGAGCCACAACAGTAGATGATTCTAGTTGAAACTCAGTACACCAGAATGCTGATGGGAATGCAGACAGGAAATAGGCCAGGCTCAGGAGTTTTCATCTAGGAATGAGAGCTCCATTGGCAATTGAACTAGATGACATATGTGGCAAAAAGTTAAATCTATATTTTGCTCATGTCCTAAGAGTTTGTGTGAGGATGAATTTAAAGACAGCGGGATTAATTAATCTAGCAAGAGAAATTTCAAGGCACACCAGTGTTCAGGCTGTGGTATGGGGTACTGCTATTTGCTTTTTGCCAAATCTATGACAAGAATCAAAAAGGCAGATGTAAAAAGTTTGTGGTATCACCAGAAAGGAAGTAACTGGAAAGTTGGAGAAAGGGAAGCATGGTTCCTGAAATGATGAAAAAGAACCCAAGTACTCTGTATCAGGACAAAGGAAAAGATGGCAAAAAAGTATCTCAGCAATTAGCCAGACTCTGAGCTTTGCAAGCTCAAGGGTATACAAGGTAAACTCCTTAAAAAGACTTCACTTTGAGAGTGTCACAGGGTGCCCTGCTTTCAGGGTCACCTAGGTGGAGATCAGCCATCCATGTAGTCAGAGGCCACCTTAGCCATAATCCACTGCTCAAATCAGTGGCAGACCAGGTGTCATATACATGATTTCTCAAGCATATTAAATGAAAGAGCTGTGGAACCAACAGTGGTTTCCCTCCAGATTTTAGAAGTAGGCCTGAGTGTACCCCATAGAGGGCAGTGTGTGAAACTATCCGAGTAAGGTCAAAAGTGAAGTAGAGATCCCAAAATTTGGAGATGCTAGGAACATGGATATCTGCTGGACAAAGAAACAAACAAAAAGTAGGCAGCAATCAGAATCAGCCCAAAGGAAACCATGTGGGCTACATCTGGCAATGCTGTAGGGACAAGCCCTTTGGAACACACAGCTCACTACCACCTACCCCAGGAGTTAAATGTCTCCCCTGCACGTTAGGTCTGATTCCTCTCTATCTTCCTGTTCCTCACTTTTGAAATGAAAATGTTTAGCTTGTACCACTGTATATTAGAGGTATTTAACTTTCTTTCTGATTTTTACAGGGCATGCTGATAAGAGTTTATCTTGAGTCTCAGAGGAAAGTTTGGACTTGGGTTTTTCAGCAATGTCATAGCTGTTAGGACTTTGATGACTCATAGAATAGACTAAATGCATTTTGCATAATGAAATGAACATGAGCCTCTTCAGGAATAGGGGTAAAATGTTATGGTTCAGATCTAAAATGTCCCCCCAAAATTCTCACGTTTTTGGAAGGTGATTGAATCAAGGTGCTATAGCTGATGTGCTGCTAGGAGGTTGGTCTGATTAGAGGTGGGAGAGAGGGCAGCCTAGAAAGGTGTATTCTTTTCCTCTGGGCTCCTCTTTCTGGCTGTCATGGATCAAACAGCTTTCTTCCATCTTGCCCTTTCTGTCTTGGAGCCAGGTGACTGCAGACCCATGGTGGCCAATCCATGGCATGTGCGCCACAGAAGGCACACAGAACCCTTTCCATCAGCATGTAAGACTATCAGCATGCAAGCCAAGTCACCCAGCAGATGAGCATCGAATAACTGTTTTTATTTAAACTAAAGCCTCAGTATTCTGGTTTAATTCCAGCGTTTACATTTTGAGATAAATATGTGGGCCCTGGGTTGCAGTTTGGACACTGGGTCTCTAAAGGTTCACCATCACTGCTGTAGCTTAAACCATGAATCAGTTAAACCTCTCCTCCTTTGAGGTGTGGGTATCAGGTATTTTTTTCCAGCAATAAGAAAGCTAACTAATCCAGCAGTTTAATGGAAATCAGTTAAATGATTAATTATTAAATAACTAAGCAGAAAGACAATATGGTTGTATCAAAAGATGTTGAAATGTAACAGCCGAATCTGTCATAAATTCTAAATAACGAAAAGAAAATGCCTCATACAAGAGTATTTCTCAGAAATCTGCAACAAACACTCCTAAAATGGATCTATATTATTCAAAGGTTTAAATTTTTACTTTGCTATATATCAGAGGGTAAAAGAGAATGTTGTTGGTAACTAGAAGAAAGATGAACATTATTCTTTTATTCTCAGTTATCACTGGGACTGGAAATTAATTCATAATTATTTTCTTCAAAATATCAGGTTTTCAAAATGTTTCCTAATGATTTCTTCAAATAAAAACAGATTTTAATATCTTTTCTTTTACAGTTGTCACCAGGAAATAAGCTCATTTTCACATCTGAAATATATCTTTTGCTTCAGTCTTCCAAAGACAATATATTACCTAGCATTCTAAAGCTAAATAACAAATAAAAGATTTAATTTTAAAGGATTTGATTTCTAGAACTAAAGGTTGAGATACAAATTAAAATACATGTTAGGGCTCCTGTGTTTTAAAATATAACAATTAAGTGCTTGTCTAGTTTTTTCACTAAACAGGAACTTTCTATCATCACTCATGTATTCTACAAATGTACAGAATATAAACATAATTATGTATTGAACTAAGAGTTAAAATCAAATAGGTCACAGTTCTTGACCTCACATAGTTACAATCTATAAGCCTATCAAGAAAGCCTGGCCCAAACAAGATGAAATACAAACATTTACTGGAAGAATATATGAATGTTAATTATCATTTGGTAAGTTTCTTCATAAGTGTTCTACTGTCCTATCCTTAATTCATGTCCACATTATTTTCCAGGAAGTTTTTAAAAGTTGTCCCTCTGTTCAGTTAAAACATTCATCTACTCCAACTTTCATTTCTAAATTATTTAACTCAAAAATCTGACATTCCCAGTCAGCTGACTTGACAGCCACTATGGTACTGTCAATGGACATTTCTTAAGGGGAGAAATCTGTCTGGAAAAAATATCTAGACCCCCTGTATTAATGCATTACTGGAATCTAATCATAAATTGATCCCATGAGAATTAAACAATAAGAATTCTATTATGATCATTCACTAAAAATACCAGTGCTAGATGCTAAAACTATCATGATAGGCAAAACAGACATGGTCCTTACAGTCACGGAGTAGATACAATTTCTCCTATAGTAAACACTTTTTTCCCATACTTACCTCTAGTATAGAAAATAGTAAAATTGTTTGATTCTCCCTTGCCCCGGCCCCTACTTCAAAAGACTCAAAACAGTTTTCAAGAAAGCCTATTAGAGAAGGAGAGGGGAATCAGGGTAAGGGGGAGGAGGGTAAGGGAGCGTAATGGGTTGGATATGATCAAAGTAGGTTGTGTACATGTTATGAAAATGCCACAATAAAGCCTTTTACTCTGTGTAACTAATATGCACTAACTTAAAAAAAAAGGTTTCAAAATAGTTTTGTTTAGCCAGGACATATTTTTGATGATCCTAAAATGATACTAGTATTGTTGTTTTCATCCAAGAGCCTGCGTATGGAACAAGGTTCAGGGATCCAGACTGGGAGGGCAGAGCGCGGAATCACCCTGCAGACTCCCGGAAGGTTTCTGGAACACTTCCATTTTACTGAGGAAATGTACAGACTTGTATAGGGTAAGGCAGGGGTGGAGCCAGGGTGGAGTCGGCTTGTTTGGCACATCGTTATCGGCCACGTGTTAATTTATGGATTGTTATGTTTTAGGGGCTGAGGCGAATGGAGTCAGGACTTTAGAAGTTTTTGAGAGGAACGGTTTATCGGTCTAAGGTCAGATCTCTACACACCTGAGGGGTGGATTATTCCAGCCCTAATAGGCCTCAGAGTTTTCTCATGAGAGATGGGTGTGGTGCTCCTGACTCAGCCAGACATAAACCTGATCCTCATAGTATGTGATATTTTAGATCAAGACAAAGGTTCTCATTCATTTTCAAGCACTGAAATGTTAAACTGTGCCCTTAAGAGTCTCATCACATAGTATACTCTTTTTGGATCATGGATCCTTTCATGCTCTGATGCTCTTCCAAGAATAACTAGAAGCCACTGAATAAAAACTCTTTTGTTCAGTGTACCAATAGTATTAGTACATCCTGGTTTAGTAAATAACATCCTAAAAATGCACCCTGAAGAAAATAAAAAAGTAAACCCTTCCAAAACAGATTAATATAAGGCTGATTTTAAAAATATGAATGATAAACTGTTTTCCTCTTGCATGGATTCTGGCATAAATAATATTAAGTAGTAACAATAGGAGGAAATACCTTAAGTTGGATTTGGAAATAACATCATATATTCTGAGATAATAGCATGTATAATTTTAATGGAATAATATCCAAAATGATTAACCTTACGAAGATGTGATATTGTCATTTACAGTGTCATTTAGTTTGCTGGTTTCTTAAAAAGTTTTCATTTTATAACTTTTAAGAGGCCCTCTGATTTTTTTCTACTAAATATGATAAAACAATCAAGGAAAAAATTAAGTCTGTATGCTTTAAAAAACCTGATTAAAATAAAAAAGCAATCTAACACAATCAC